TACTTAATACATAATACTTGAAATATGAGACATATTGCTTGCACACAAATGATATTGTAAATGTCTTTTTTGTTTCTAATATAAAAGATTATTAATATAATATTCAGATTTTTATCTTAGAATTTATTAATTTTAGGTCTGAACAGATACTTTTGTTTCATAAAAATGATGATGATGTTGAAGAAGAAATTGCTAATAATAGCAGCTCAGAATTTGTATTGACTAAATACAACTTGTGCAAGCAAAGTTGAACTCTTTGTCATGTAATAAGTGAATATAGAAAACAGAATGAAAAGGAAGAGAAAATAAATCTGACTGGAATAATAATAATCCAGTTGAATAGGAACTGTGCAAATGAGTTGACTTTAATAATGCAGAGTCTTTCCTAAAGAAAAATTAATATTCTTGGGACTTAGAAATTCAGATGGGTTCATCCAATCCAGGGGATCAAATCTCTCTTGTGAAAAGAAGATTTCTTAAAATGATGGATGTTGCAATTCCAATAGACAAAGAAGAAGAATTGAAAGAAAAACTGGTTAAATCAATGAAACCTACCAGAGAATAAAAAAAAAAAACACGGTAGAACATGTAACAGTTGTTCTCATCATTAATAGTGTGCTTAAAACCAGGCTCACCATGAATGGTCCCTGGCAATGAGAGAGATCAAGATTCATGTCACCTAACATTTTAATTTTAATTTTTCTTATAGGCCCATGGGTACTAGAGCACTTGCCCTTGCTAACCCCAGTCTCAGTGGACCTGCTTGGGAACAATGTCAGAAAACTTTGCAAACAGTTTGGAACAACTGGAAATCTGAAGAAGAATTTAAACCAATCAGATTTCAGCTTTGCTAAAATCAGCAAATATATGAAGGAGAGTGTTTGAATAAAGAGAATAATAATGGAATGAAAAATCAATGATGAATAATAATGATGATGATAATATTGATGCAATAAAAATAATGTAATGAGTAATAATTAAGGGAAAATAATAAGAAAGAATTAATAAGGATGATCACAATTATGACAGTGCTGATGAGAAATTATATTTAAAGTTTAGCAATGAATGATGAAAACAATAAGAATGAAAATATTTTTTAAATTATTATTTACAATGACAAAGTTTTGGTAAAATTGAAATTTTGGTTTTCCTCCTATTATTTACATTTTATTTCAGTTCAAAACAATTTGGTATTTTTTTAAACTAACACTTTTTTATAAAATGTGTCTTTCATTGTGAAAAGCTGAGTAAATTTATTCAAGTGCGAACTGGTATGAATTTTGCCAGGGTTTTTGCTATTTTACATTTGTGTATTTTTTTGTTCTTTATTCCTTAATTACACAGCACCCAGTATAATGATTAATTAACCATAATATAGAATATATTGGAGTACTTTTTAAATTAAGTCTATCTGTGCATATACATATGGTTATAAAACTGAGAAATAGAATTAAATTCTAAAAAATAATTGTATCAATTTGCAATCAAATTTATGGTAGATGTGAAGACATGAATACAGACATCAAATTTTCATCATAGATATATAGTACCATGAGCATGTATGACTATATATATATATATATATATATATATATATATATATATATAGAGAGAGAGAGAGAGAGAAAATGTATGTAAATATAAAAGTGGACACTGAGGTCAACACCAGGCCATGTGTATGTGTTGTATGGTGGTTCAACTATTTATATATGCTGGTCAATGGATCATTATAGGTACCAAGGTCGGGTATTTCCAATTTATAGTATTATCCTAACAGTTATTAGGTAGGCAGCAATTGCTATATTATTCTAAAAGCTTTTGAGTAGAAATAATTGTGGATCAGAATGTGGTTATTTGTAGCTATTGTATAAAGTTGTTTAACTTTTAACTCATTATTTGTTATTGATCATTTTGGGTATTTTGTATTTACTCATTAATTATTTGTTGTAGATTATTATTAGTAAATTTACTTGTGGTTAGGCATGTATTCATAACTTGTTAATTTGTTTATTATTATTGACATAATTTATTTACTTTTTTATTTTATTCTTTTTGTATATACTGCATTAATAAATCTTCTGACATCTTGTTATTAACCTAATATTGATTCTAAATCTTTTCTCTATAATTCTTTATTAATATTTGCAACTGAATTAAGGGCATTGACGAGGAAGTTTTATATTAAAATATTTATTATGCAAAATAAATGTTTCTTTTTTCACCATGTTATTATCATCATGAACTGATTCCCAAAAGTTTCATTCACTGATCACTACAACCTTAACTTGTTCAAGTCTAGTATTAACTGTTATCTTCCACACATTCACATAAGTTTTACCTCTTACTCTGTAACCCTCTACATCAAGTAGCCTTCAGTCACAAGGTGATGTGGTGGAAGACTAAACCAGAAAAGTATCAAATATTTAAACATTATTATTATTTTGTTTACATATTAATTATTTTATACACCCTCCAATATGCTATCCCCTGTGGTCAACAATATTTTGGGGGATTATTTCATTTGTATAATAATAGCTTCTAGAATTCTCAGTTTTTTTCTTGCAGATGTTTTGAACTTTTTTTAATAAATGATGAATCTAAGGCATTTGTTGAAATTGTTAAGTGAAATACCTGTGAATTATATTTTTGTGTTTTTCATCTTATTTTTAATTTTTGGTGCATTAGTTATGATAGTATAAGTTAATGTTAAGTTATTTTTATTTATACATGAATAATTGTGTTATTTTTTTCAAAAATTCATTTTAATTTTTTCATGGTTGTGGGAATTATTGATGATAAGTGTTTATTTTATGTTATTCTTATTAAAAAAATAATGCCCAAAGAAGAAATTATTTTTGCATAGTTATGTTTTTTTATAACAGCTATTTAATATTTATGAAGATATTCACTTTTGTAATTGAGAAGACATGATTTTTTGTTTATGAGTCTTTTACACAGTAAAGCACTGAAATTATGAGTGTTCATGTCAAATAAAATGTTGAGGAAAGGAATTTTATTATTAATGTTAAGTTCATAAATAAAGTATAAGATGAAATTATTCTCAAAGGTTTCTTTAAGGTATTTTGTCAATAAAAATATGTCATCAATATATTTAACAGGCATGGTAAAATTATTAAAGATTTTATTTTTTATATGGGTCATGTAGAAATTAGAAAAAAGTAAGACTAAGAGATGAAGCTGTCAGTCTCTCTGTAAATGATGAGATGAAGCTGTCAGTCTCTCTGTAAATGTTGCCATAAGGATCATGAAAAGATACTTGTGTCATGCAAGCTAGAAGGAATTATTATATATGTTTTGTACTATATATCTAAAATTTCTTTCACAGGATATTTCAATGTCTAATGAGATTAGAATGTCATTTTCAGGCTTATTTGTGTGCAATATTTTGAGAAATTCATTGGTGGAATTGACACTATTGAGTAAGCATGGTAGAATCATTTGGTTTAGAATTTTGGACAAGTGATTTAGAGAGGCATAGATTTTTGAAAATTATGCAATAATAGAAGAGAACTAGGCTTGTGTTTTTTTTATATTCCCATATAAATAGTTGGGGTAATATTCATCTACAATTTTATTCAAAAATTGGAAAAATAAAAAAATTAAACAGACCTTGTCAGTTGAAATAGACAAAAGTTGTTGGTATGAATTACTTCTACCTAAATATCTTTGCTCCTATTTTATTTTCACATGACCAATATAAAAAACAAAGTCTTTAATAATTTCAGCAGGCTCTCCATTTATACTTGATGTACTGATGACTTTTGCATATTAATGAAATAAAAAACCTTAAAGAAACCTTTGAAAATAACTCCATCTTACATTTTATTTATGAACTCAATAATAGAATCACTTTACTTGACATTCAAGTTTTGATGCTAATAGTGGTAATTTTATTACTTCTCTATATAAAAAAATCTAAAAGCAAAATTTTGAGTCTCTTTAAATATAAGTGAGTGTCCTCACAGATATAAAATAGGGATTATAAAAAAAGATGATTAATCATGTGAAAATGATTTCCACTTTGAACACATTATTTTATAAAAATTAAGTAAAATAAAACTAACTTATCAACAATAATTTCCCAAAACATGTTGATGAAGAAATAAAATTGGTCTTAAAGAAATTTAGAATAAATGACACAAGCAATCATCTTGATATAAACAAGAATAAACACAAAATTAACTCATCTTATTCTAACCAAGTGCATCTTAATGATAAACAAAATGAAAAAACACATTAAAACAAAATAGTCAGTCAATCATGAGGATGAATGAGTTTGTCCATCAGGTTCAGGTTATTCAATCAGATTGCATGGTTCTTCCAGATCTTTTCCAACTTAAGCTGCCTTTTACTCATGTAGGACTTCATATACCACACATCAGGAGGCTGAGCTTTAATACTTTGAGCTGCCCAGTAATGCATTTCATCAACTTGCTATGATAACCTGATGGGCAAACACATCCATCCACATGATGACTATTTCTTTCTCTTGGTCATAGCATGTTCCTGTCAGAAGGCTCCAACTCATTCTCGACCTTGAACACAAAAGACATGGCCATTTTTAAGAAGCTGGCTATCTCCAGTAGCCATGCCTTTTCATTTTCCTGTGTCAGTTTTGAATCTGCTATGTTAATGCCCTCAATACATTTGAAGGAGAAACAAGAATTTGGCAGTTACTGCATAACATTATCTTAGGTTGTCTTATATTTTTGGCCCACTAAAGATGTGTTCTCAAATAACTGGAACAATCTGTTCACATGCACACATATGTATATAGACATAGAGAGACACAATACATGAACACACTGACACACTCACATATGTTTGTATAGACCTGTGTGTCTGTGTGCACATACATAAAATTTTATGTAATTTTTTACTAACTGAGCAATCATGAGAGAAAGGCTAAAGATTTTTAAATGAAACTCAAATTAAAATTCACAAATAAATAAGAATAAAAACAATATCTGTTCATTGTTTCAATTCTTGCAATAAAAAGTAAGTACAATTAAATAACAAGAATTTTTATTCTCTGTAAGAAAGCCCAAAAAACTGAGATGAAAATTGCTAGGTTGAAAGTTAAAGATGATCTCAAGAGACTGACAAATGAGAAGAGAAAAGAAAACAGAAATTGAGAGAAAGAGAAAGAGGAAAGATATAGAGAGAGGGAAAAGAGAAAGAACAAAATTAGAAGGAAAGAAAAGAAGAGAAAAAGATAAAAAAATATAAAATGACTGAAGCAGGCAAATTGCAAGAGAAAGAAAGAGGAAGAAATAATAAGTTGAATGAGTTGGTTTAATGTAGATGAAAGAGCAAGAATACTAAGAGAAATAGAGTGAAGAATAAATTAGAAGAGGCAAAAAGTTAACTGAGAGAGAAGGAAAGAGAACAATGGGAGGGGGATTTGATAGAGGCCATGTGAAACAATTAAGTAAAAAGAGAAAGGAAATGAGAGATAGCAAGAAAAGTGAAAAGAGAAAATGAAGAGAGAAAAATGAAAGAAAATATGTGTGTATGTTAAGAGAAGAGAATAAAAGGAGTGTTAGATTAAATGACACTTAGATGGATTTGAATTGTCTGCACAGACCAGCACTATGCAGACTGTAATGTTAAATCCAGCTGCCAGCATTGTAACTACACATATTTAAGAGACGACATGAGCTGCTTTTATTGATTAGAAGCCAAAAGTGAAGTGGAACAACTCTATTAAGCATGTTTTCGTATTTCTTTTTATGGAGAGCACTCAGATTAATTTCCCCTGATGCTGAGAATAACACCTCCCAGCAAAGGTGAGACCAACAATTGGAAGGGTTACAAGAGAGTAGATGTATGAAGTGGTTAGCTTGCTCACCAAGTGAGTGATTTTCGAGTTGGATTGTTGGATGGTTGCAATGAAAGAGGCTCATTTTGTGGAATGTATTCATATAAAAAAATATTGTAAGCCTGACCAGTTTCTACAGATGTGATTGACATGAATCATTTTAAAATAATGAATGGACTAAATTTATGAAAGAAAATTAAATACTTAAATATCAATAAGTATGAAGATATATGAGGGTTGCTCCAAAAGTAATACCTTTTATTGTTAATATGTTAGTTCACAACACCAGCAGCAATTGGAGCAGAAGTTTAAACTTTCTCCCAATGACCCATGCTTTCTGGGTCTTTGCTACTGAGAATAGCTGTGATAGTCTGGCAAAATATCATCTGACATGAAAGTACATATGAAACAAATGTGTATCATTGAAGTCCTCCATGCAGAAAAATTTGCACTTTTTGATATTCAATGATGTTTGTAGAATATTTATGGAGGCCAAACAACAGATATGGGCATAGTTAATGGGTACTGTATTTTAAAACTATATTTTTATTATCATTATTATATATGTGTAGATGTGTGTGTATATATATATATATATATATATATATATATATATATATATATATATATATATATATATTTTAATAGACCAGTTAATGCAATTTGAGGAATAAAAAGACTACAAAATGATAATAATATTGGCTATAAGATTGATGATATTTATTATATATTAGTCTTTTGACTAAAAAGATTTTAAAGTCTGAATTTTTGGACACACCTGTGTCCTTTTTCAATGAATAAACAAGGAAGTGGGACTCACTCTTTCAGGGAATGCTGTTGTTGCTGTCAGTTAGAGGGCTCCTTGTGGAAACTATATTCTTTGAGTAAGCCCAAATCCCTTTCTATTTTGAAAATATATTTCAACTCCGATCTGCATCTTTGTCAGCTGTTAAATGAAGATGCTAAATGCAGGCATCTGATGTTATCAATGCTATACAATGGTTGGTTGAAGTGTGCAGTAACAGGAAATTGTTGTTGTTGTCTTTGATGGATTTTTATGATTATTGAATTGAAGACAGGATTATGTACATGTTTCTCCAAAATAATTGCCTTCTTTTGCATTTGTGACAGAAAATTAAATATATAAGATCTGAACTGTCACAAGTCAGAGCTGGTAGTTTGAATATTGCGTGAGTGCCAGAGGGATGTGAAATTGCTATCAGTGTTGATATTTTTACATTCTTGTCATCAGGGTTTATTGCAGGTAATATTCCCTTTATGAGGCGGTGAATTATACATTCTAGATGATGTTAGGAGTGTGTGTAGGTTGGGGGCTGATGCCAATCAGCATTGAGGGGGTTCTCGCTGAATATCTTTCTATATAGAATATCAGGATGTAAACAAAGGAATTCTGATTACCACATAGGTCACAACATTGGTTTTTGAAAATGACCTGAGAATTTATCCATAGTTTCAAGAACAATAGTGTTATAACTCATTCCTAGTGGTTGTAATATTATATCTTGCTTAGGATACTCACTGTGGCATCATCAATTCTTTCTCCTTGACTTCTCCTTACTCACTTTGAGTTCTTTATTTAAAGCATCTTGCCTAGTTTATTTGTGTTACCAGGGATGTCTTAATTACTCCATAACAAATACTCAACACCTACAAAATACAATAAAACATTAAAAATGCCAACCTTGTCATTTCTTGTTTGGATGAATACTTGCTGCTTAAATATATCAACCAGATAGTCAACACAAGATCATTCTCTTTATTAAAGAATCTTTCAAAAATAAAATATACTTTTCTGAATTTTTATTTGAGGGAGATTACCTGATTTAAAGTTTAATTAATCTGATTTGAAACAAATATTACTTACTTTTAGTTCTTTTTTAAATTGCAGAAAAGAATTTTTTTTATTGCAGAAAAACATTTTTTAACATGGAGGTGGGTGGTTTTATGAGGTGTTAATAACTCTCTTGATGGACTTATGCTTGCCAATTTTTTCTATGAGTTGCAACAATTACTTGAAGTATATAACATGAATGTCTTTTTATATAATGTTTTAAATTAATCTTAAAAAATTAGGAAAACATTTTAAGCAAACTATAGTTTTTATAGTCTTATGAATATATTTGTTGGGGAAATGTTAGAAAATTACCAATAAATTGAAAATTTTCTATAGTTACTATTCTTATTTTCTGATAATATTATTTATAGACATTGGTATTTACAAAATCAGTATGTTTATACACATGCAAAAATACTGGAGATCACAGAATTGTAATAAGCTTTTCCATTTATCAGTAGTAGGTATAGTTTTTGCTTAATATCACTTAACCTCTACAAATTAATAAAGAATTTTAAAAGGTTTATAAAATGAAAATAATTCTTGCAAAAATTCATTATTCATTGAAAATTATTTTTTTAAGACAATAATGTCCATAATATATCTTATTCAGAAAAAATTATTTTTATTGATTAAACAGTGCATATTACATCTATTGGTTTGTATATTCAAGAAATCTTTATCATCATGCTTTCCCATGACCTAATTGGTTAAACACTCTTGCTTAACATGTGGTTTCCCTGATAGAAAATGGGACTACAGGTTTGATTCCTGTTGGAAAGAGCATTTTCTTTAGTAGGACTTTCTGATCTCTAAGCTGGTTGACATTAATTTCACTGTTTAAAATAACAGGGATATCTACTCTAGCATGTGTACCCACTAAATATCTGGGGTTTATCTGAGTCCTGAAGTATAAAGCATCAGGAAACTCTGAGCCAGTCTTTCATAAGTATCATGAACGTTCAATATTTCACATATAATACTACCTACTAAATATGATTTTATAGTCATAAGAAATAAGCATATATGCAGTTATAATAATAAGTCCATAGCCTTGTGATGAATAAAGTATCTATCTTCCTAAATAAATATTCCTTTTTCAACATAATATGCTTATTTATCCTCTTATTTTCTTCTTTATTCTCTCAAGATGTAGGCAATCATGGCTCTCCACAATCTCCTGTCTCTTGTAATTCTTAATAAATTTTGTCTTTCTGTTATTTATCTTAAACCCTGTTCTGCTATCCATTTACTGAAGCTTACTAAGTCAGTCATGTGCTGTTTTACTATCTTTCTTGCCTTCAATCTGTTCTGTGGGTATCAGATCTTCCAAGGCATCTTTCCTCATTATGTGCCCTAGAAAGCTTTACAACTGTTCAATTCAATGGAGAATATTAATCACACAGATTGAATATTGTACAGGATAAATTCCAGATCAAAATTCAGTTAATAACTTTCCTGTCAGTCTACAGACTTATTGATCTACTCTCATGAATACATATATAGATGTAAATTTTCATTTTCACATATATGAATTTCTTTCTCTCTCTCTCTCTCTGAATATACTGTGTGTGTGTGTGTGCTATTTTTATCTGTTGTCTCCATTTCTTCAGCTTAGAGGCATCAACCTGCTGCTGCTAAGTGCTATTATTGATGACAGTTCACACCAACCAGATTAAGCATGCAAAGAACAGTATACAAAAAAATTAAATATCACAATGCTAACAGATGACTGAAACAGCATCCTAAGTGATCTTTAACAGAGCTTCTGCCAGATTTACCTTTTTTTATATATAAAGTATAGAGAGGGAATAAGGGGAGATGGGTTGCAAATGTGTGGGATGCCACAAGAGAATGATATTTGATGGTGCCAGAAAAGAATGAAATGTATGTATATATATATATATATATATATATATATATATATATATATATATAAAAGAGGCAAAGGAAAAAGACAAAAAAATTAAAAGTAAAAAAAAGTATATCAAATAATTGATTGAATGTTCCATACACCAAAGCTTACCAAAAGCTATTAGCAAAATGAAGAGTACTAAATTTTGAGGTTTTTGGTTTGTTTTTTTTTGTTTTTTTTTTGTGTGTGTGCATGTGTTTGTATGTATGTTTTTGTTTTGTTTATTTTTTGCTTCTTTATTGCTTTTTTTCCAGTTTTACTTCACATCTCCGTGAAAGAGAGAAAGAAAAACCTTTCCAATAGAATACCTGGCTTAAATGTTTTTCTGTTACATTAACAAAAATATACTGTCGATTTATCCTCTTCTTCAACCAATGACAAGGGAAATCACATCTCTCAATGAAGAATGGTGGAACTATTAACTATGGTCAGTTCCATTAATTTTTTCTTTACATGTCTGATGTTTTAATGGTTTTGATGATATGCTTTCACCTGTCAGTTTTATTTAAGATGCAAAGCTTACAGATGCAAAAAAACACTGAGAAGTATGGTCAGAATGCCAGTGTGTCTGCTCAAAGAAATCTTAGTTTATCTTGCTTGTCTGTCTGTCTGTCTGTCAGTTCCAGTGGAAAAAGAAAATCATGTCTGTCCATTTACCTTTGTCATTCAATCAACTCAAGTTTTGTTATTTTTTTTTATAAAAAATAGTCTGACATTTTTCTGTTGCAAATATCATTTGGGAGGAATAAATGATAGCTAAAGAAGCAGATATTTATACAATGACTGCTATTAAGAGAGGAAGATTGTATAGCACCCGTTATTCAACATGAGAGAGGTTCCATTGAAAATCTGCATTTTAAATCATGGTTTTTATAATCTTTGAAACACTTATTTACATGATTATGTTACTACCCCAATGACCCCAACAATATCTGACCTCTTAGTTCTCTTGATGTGGACACCCTATAGGGGTATCTTTGAGAAAGAGACCAACCAATGGCCTTACAATACTAAGGCCTTTTTGAAGGCCATTATCATCATAGAGATGGTGGCTAATATGGATGAAAGCCACCTGATCTGGAATGCAGTTATTTTTGAGATAACTCTTGAGGCTAAGAGCAATTTTATTAAATAACCTTTTCCTAAGTTGAAAATGTATATACATTTTTTTTGAAAATATAGTGATTTTTTCTATTGAATATTTTCTTTAAATTTTTAATTGTAAATGATCTCATTATGACATCATCAATTTGTATATTAACTCAGGGATTGTAGAACAGAACATTATAGATGCAAGTTAGATGTTTATAGAGAA